TTTTTTTTTTTTTTTTTTTTTTTTTTTTTTTTTTTTTTTTTTTTTTTTTTTTTTTTTGTATTTTGTGAATATAATGTAGCATGCGCGTATCAGAAATTTTCTCGAAGAAGTTCTCCGATTTAACTTATTGAAATCACTAATTTTGGATGAAAATATTTACACACACATTTGTAAATTTTAAATTTAAAATGTAAATATCTATTCTCTGGTGGTTGCAGCAGACAAACCTCAATTTTCTCATTGAATATTTCGTGTGCTACTATGTAAGTTTTAATACCATAACAATTAGTTGATATCTGTTGCACATTAATTGTTTAATACATGGGTGCACATAAAACGTATTGCAGCCCGAATTTTTATTATTTATTTAATATTTTTAAAAATATTATTAATAACAATTAAATATTTTTAAAAATCTACATCTTATTTTAATTTGTAATTCAATACTTTTGCTTTGTACAACTTGGTAAAACTCTGACAATAATATTTAATGTTCCTTCAAACATAAAAGAGTCCTACATAAAATTTTGATAAAGTTGCGGCCCGCCATTTGATTTGTGTTTTTAATTGTGGCCCCCGGCCTCATGTAATGTGAAAACCCCTGTTTTAATGTGCTGATATGTTTTTTAAAAGTTTTCATAGAGTTATATTTTTTTCAAAAAAAATTTGAATTAATTAAATCCTCTTAATTTTTTTCTTAACAAAATTTAAAGAATTGTTTTCAAAAAAAATATTTAGATTCAAAGAAAATATGAAAAAAAAAATGCAAAATAAATTGTATATAACATATTAAAAATAGATTTTGAAAGGAGTGAATTGATAGAGAGTTGTTCATGTCTATAGCATTATTTATAATGCATTGATATTTCAGAATCAACAGAATTACATGCGTATAAGTTGACCCCCTGATTTTCTTAAAATTTTTAGGGTTTGAAAAATTGACTTATACACCAAGATAGACAGTAGATAACTGCACTTTTCTAAAACGATGAAGGTTTAAACACTTTTTAAGAAATATTATGCACAGCCAATGCAAAATAAGTATAATTTTATGATCTGGCTAGACTTGGTTCTAACTATGATAACAAAACATGTTTTACTTAGAAAGCACTGAGAACTATTTTTAACATTCTTTATTCTTTTATTGAATTCCTTAAAGTTTTTCCTTAATTTTAATTTTAATACCCTGAAATATTTATTATTATTATAATAACTAATATTGTTGATTTATTACTAAAATAAAAGTAATCTGTTACAGTACAAATAGCATTTTTTGCAAATAGCACAAATAGCATACAAATAGCACATAACAATTGACCATCTAAAGTGCTAGTTATTCACAAACAAATGGTTTTGGACATTTTTCATCAGTTATTAATCAGTTTCATTATTTCCACACTGATATATTAATAATTGGTAGAATTGTAAAATGTTCAAACAGTTATAACTCAATTTATGAAAACATTTATTGCAATAACAAATGCTCACACTAAAAAAAAACAAGTATACTTGAAAATGTAGAAGAAAAAGTTAAAGTGAAGAAGCAGTGAAATAATACTTATTTATCTTCAATAAAACATGTACGTAAAAAAGCAATTTAAATAAACACAATATACTTTTTAATTGTTAATATAATAATGCTCTCAGTCCATACATATGTACAAGTACATATATCCCAATGTATAAGTCGACTTTTTAAAAAACCCCAAAATATTACAAAAATTTGGGGGTCGACTTGTACACCAGTAATAAAGTTGGACATTCATTGACATATCAATGCATTAAAACAATGTGATAAATATGAATAACTAATCTGTATTCAAAAGTGGTTTAAAAAATAAATAAATAAAAAGAGAAAATTAGACGACAAAATTTACCCAATGGCATAATTTATAGCTCTTGCAAGACCATTTCCTGATCCACCGGGTACAACTCCAACTGGGATCTTAATTACTTCTTTCCAATCAGACCGTGCCATTAATCCATTGTACACCTATAATAATTTAAAACAGAAATTAAACAAAATGGTGTATAAAAATTTTACTGAGCAACAAAATATAAATAATGACCTTCATGTAATTAAGTCTAGTAAGCTTATAAAATAAGCATAATATATTATATAATAAGCATAGTTATATAGTTAAGCATATTTACAGAATAAAAAAGTAACTAAGTGAAACTATAATACTTTTTAAACAAAAGAAAGATGAATTACATCCTGTTTAAAAAAAACTGTACTTCTACTAAAAGAAAAAAAAACTTGATAAGTAAAAAAAATTTATAAGAAAAATATAGATATCTAAAAAAAAATGTTTCGAAATTCTATTATTAAATGAGTACCAAGCAATCAAGATATTTCAAGTTAAGGTATCTTTATCTAATAACTATACAATATACTAACATTTTGGATACAAATTTATATAATACTGCAATTAATAATCTACTTGTTCAGGAAAAAAGAATTTTATTTTATTTTATAAACATCGTTGAACCACCGACCCAATTTTGGGTTTGCGACTACTAATGTTCAAGTTCATAGCCTTGTAATTTTGAATCCAATTCAAAAGAAAAGGAAACTCCTGAATCAAGTACTGGGAGAAATTTGCCTTTGTGGAGGACGTTTTGATGGAACTAAACTACATTTGCGTTACATGGAGAGGAAAACCACGAAAACTTTCCAAGGTTAGCCTGACGACAAGAGACTCTAACCCATGATCCGTCTACCACTGAGGACATTTTTCGTCAGCACTGTGGTGCGAGCCGGGTGTGGAATTCGTATCGACCAGCCATCGCCGGGATTCAAACTCGGTTCACCTCATTGGAAAGCAAACATACTATTCCCTTAGTCACCAAGGCTCAAGAAAAAAGAATTTTATATTTTATTTTATAATTCGTTAAAATCCGCATTTGCGTTGCATGGAGAGGAAAACCACGAGAACCTCCACACGGTTAGCCTGACGGCAAGGGGACTAGGAAAAAAGAATTTCCTAGAATCCCTCGCCGTCTTGAAATTTAAGTGAATTTTTTCCTTTGTGTTTTCTCAATATTTTCTTCTTCTCTCTTTTTTTTTTTTTTTTTTTTTTTTTTTTTTTTTTTTTTTTTTTTTTTGCACTAAACAAACTTTTGCCGATATACTATGATTAAACAGCACAATATCTTTCAAAAGAGGTTGAAAATAAAGGAGTAACTTAAATAGATTAGGAGAAATAGCGCTTGATAATTTTCAGAAATTGTATGAAATTTTTCTCAAAACTTTAAAACAATAATATAATGCGATTCGCGGTTCTGGGTAAGTAATTTAGAGAGCCGCGTTTCTCAGTTCAGAGACGTTTTTTTTTTTTTTTAATCTAATTTTATTACATTAAATCTAATTTAATTAAACTGATGAAAACAGTTTTAGATACCTATAAAAAATCTAAATACAGGCAATTTTATACTATTTAACTACCTATTAAAAACTGTTAATTGCAGAATTGTATTGGTATAATTATGTCAGAAAAAATTATTAAAGAATCTAAAATACCGCACGTTTTATCGATCAAATTGTGATTAGATGGCGGCCTTGTAGTTTTACACGTATCGAGAGATACTGCTAAATGGATTAAATATCCATTATCGGTTTACTTGTGCATATTAAATAATGAGGATTAAAAGCATATTTAGAATTTTCCCTCTTGTCTCTACCTCTTCCACAGGTGAGTTCGGTCTTTCTCTATCTTTTTAAGAGGAATGGCCTCTTAAAAAGATTTATACGTATTTATAAGATATATACATATTATTTTTGGTGCTGAAGCACAAAAGACAAGAACAATGGCGAGACTGAAACTTATTGCTCATCATATTTTGAATCACGTGTGAGACTACCTCTTATCCTTGATTTTTAACATGAGTATACGCGTCTTAAAAGAACTATACTCACTTTAACACTGTATTTACTCAGAAATTGCGACACAGTCTTAAAAGTATACTGTTTAAAAACATATTAATACAAGTATATACATCAGTGGCAAGCTTTCATAAAAGGACCCGCGGAGTCTTGTAACTTTTACCAAGCACCAAAATATAATTTTTTTTAAATACATCGATGTCTGTAGAACATGTGCTTTAAAACACTCACGTTACAATAGTAAGAATTAATTTTCTGTATCATTATTTTTTAAAACTATATATCATTAAAATAATACCTAAACATCTCCTTTAACAAAATATCGCACATACACTACAATACAATCCCAAACAAAGCAATATATTCTAATTAGACTTTTTTAAATTAGTAGCTTTACAATCAAAATATAAATATTTTAAATAAATTATTAAGATTTTCTAAACAGTAACATGTAAAGATATGTCGATAAATGCTTGCAAACGCTACACTGTTATAAATTTCTCGGAAAAAATTAACATTTATTTATTTTACCATAATTAAACAAAACAGTCAAATAACTATAAATAAGATAGTAATCAAACTGTAAACGGTGAAAAAACCGTTATTTATTTGTTATTTTACCATAATCAAACAAAACAGTCAAATAACTATAAATAAGATAGCAATCAAACTGTAAAACTGTGAAAAAAACCGTTATTTATTTGTTATTTTACCATAATCAAACAAAATAGTCAAATAACTATAAATAAGATAGTAATCAAACTGTAAACTGCAAAAAACCGTTATTTATTTGTTATTTTACCATAATCAAACAAAACAGTCAAATAACTATAAATAAGATAGTAATCAAACTGTAAACTGTGAAAAAAACCGTTATTTATTTGTTATTTTATCATAATCAAACAAAACAGTCAAATAACTATAAATAAGATACTAATCAAACTGTAAACTGTGAGAGAAAACCGTTTACCAACTGCTTTCACTTAATACGGTTAAACAACCAGAATTTTATCACTTAGTTCCTAACAACTGCGTAGATAATATAGCCGAGAGGACTAATCAGTCGGTCTCATGACCGACAGTAATGGGTTCGAGTCCAAGCGAAGACACTACAATATTTTCTTCTTCTCTTCAACACATGAAGAGTTTCCAGTGTCCAAATTTCTCCACTGCCCACTACCTGACGAAAAGCCTAGCTCTTATACCCAGTTAAATTTCTTTTCCACGGTTATGAAACCATGCTAGTTGTAAAAGGTTAGTAAACCCTTTTAGATTTGTATTCATTGTTTTATAATTATATTAGTTGCAAACGGTTTCAAAACAGTAAAGTTAAAAATCTTTACCTTAAAATTTACGGTTAACCGGATGAACAGACTGTTGCCGGTTATGCTGTTTATTTAAAACATAGCTGCCGTATGGGTCAATGGCCGATCCGTTTGTCCATGGCCGATGATATGATATTCGATATTTTTTTAATAATTATAAAAACTTAAGTTTTTTAAACTCCATTTTTATATTGAAAATTCGAAAACCGTGTTTTCTAATATTAAGAGAGAGAAACGGTGACAGTATACACACATAAAAAAATCACTCGAAATATTTTTATATAGTACTTCCAAAATTATCGAATTAGAAAATAAGATTTGTCTAATTATTTTTAGATATTTTTTGAAGCGGGCCCTTCAACGCAAAATTCTTAGGCCACTACTGTTGTGTATTTTAAAATAGCACTGCAAAATCTAGCAACGGTGCTGAGATAATACGATGCAAAATGTATTCTTTTGAATAAAATAATAATAATAAAAGGGTTTAATATTTTTTTCCACTTAAAATATGCTTAAATAAAAAAATTTCACTTTTGATAAATTATTACCGTTAAGAAGAAGAGTGTTGATTAAACAATCACATAAGATGTTCTCAAGATAAATTACCAATTTAATTCACAAGCAAAATGAGCCTAACATTTTTATTTATTTATTTGAATAAAATGTGGCGGAGCTCAAAACTGTTACTCAGAATTTCAACTACAATAATACTGAACTGTAAAATAGCACCATTAAAATAAAAAATNTGGGGGGGGTATGTGATTTACTTATTTTTTGCTGACCAGGGGTGAAATCCAAAAATGAATCCAAATCGAAAATCCACCGAAATCCAAAATTGTCAAAATCGCAATATTTGATCACAATATTTGAACAACTCTAGAGAATGAGATAAACGGAACGAAAATATTAGTAGTGAAACTATATTGGGTTTCTACTTATTATGTTCCGCTATATGCGTATGCTCAGCAGCTTTAAATAAATAAAATTTATTTCATAACGACAAAACATACCAGGAAAACAGAACAGAAATATCGTTAGATTAGATAAAGCCCCGAAGAGGAGGAAAAGAAAAGGTCTTAAAATAAAACGTAAATTTGACTTCAAGATGCAAAACGAATTCGTGAGCTTATTATAAGAGCTTCACGACCTTGAAAATCAACCTCGTGTAGAAAATGGAACACTCATAAATATCGAAGACGCACGAATTATCAATAAAGCAAGCGTCACATCCAGAAATCGTAATTCATGATGTAATATGACACCATCAACAAAGGCTGGACTAAAATGTCAACATAGTCTTTTCGCATTTTGTATGATTTAGAATAGAAAAAAAAAAATATATAAATATACGACTATGTTCAAGATACCTGGAAAAAAGAACAATGTGAGGATATTATTTATGTGTTGTGCACTTACTTCAAACAATAAACCATCACCTGAGACGACAACAATGCCATCCCATTGAGACAAGTCTGCTTTTTTCACGAAATCTCTGGCACAATTAGCTCGATCTAAAAGAATTAACCAAAGAATAAAATCAATAATAAAATCATCTGTACGCTAAATCTTTAATTTCATTAAATATTTAAAAAAATAATAATTTTAAATTAATAAACACTATCAATCATTTTTAACTACATGTTCATCATAAATTTTTCAGAATATTTGTAAATGAGGTTACTATGAAACATGCTTAATGTACTTAACCATACTCAGTCATAGTAAACAATTTTTTGACATACTTTCAAATCAATTTCCTTTTTTTAGTTAATCTGCAAAATAGCTAAGCAATGTGAACATTAACGGCCTTCGAGCCTTAGCTATAACATATACAGTAGCGTAGATAACAACCCCGTAACTCCAGCAGTGCAGAAGGGCGCACTCGCCAGAAAATATAACACTGTAAGTTAAAATCAAATTTTTTTTTTTTTTTAATTTTTAAAACTTTCTTAGTTCACTTTATCAATAATAATAATCCTAAACTAAACTTTGAAAATAAGTACTGTAAGATAGTGATTTATTTTCAACTATAATTTTAAAAAATTCATTTCTATATGGTACGTGTATACAGTGTTTCTATTTAGTACTCCAATTCTATCTTTATACGTCAATTTAATATTTTCTCTTTCTTAAATTAAAATTAAATTAATTTTATTTTAAATATCCGAATATCTCATCACCACAATGTTTTAGTCTCATATTAAAATTTTAAATTTTTCATTGCAAGTCAGTGTAAGATAGGGCGCACTTATAAATCTTGCAGGAGGGCACATCTAAGTCTACATACGCTACTAAACATAAACATTAAACGATTATTTTTAACTATTGCTTAAGAGCTGAGATGGCTCAGGGTATAGAGAGTTCGCCTTCCAATGAGGTGAACCGGGTTCGAATCCCAGCAATGGCAGGTCGATACGAATTCGTATCCGGTTTTCACCGACCACAGTGCTGATGTAAAATATCATCAGTGGTAGACGGATCATGGGTTACGGTCCCCTTGCCATCAGGCTAACCGTGGGAGGTGTTCGAGGTTTCACTTGCCATGTAACACAAATGCGGGTTAGTTCCATCAAAAAGTCCTCCATGAATACAAAATTCTCCAAATACTCGATCCAAGAGTTTCCTTGTCTTCGGGATTGGATCAAAATTCGGTCCACGGAGTTGAACATTAGAAGTCGTAAGCCCAAAAAATTTGATTGGCGACAGTTATAAAATATTGTTTAAATAAAAATTCAAATGCCGGTATTTAAACAGACACAATAGACAAAATTATTATTTCATAACTATTTTAAAACATGGGAAATGAAATTATGTGATTCATAAATTTAATGGAATGTGACAGAACTAGAATGTTTGTTCTAGAATTTTGAAACAGTGTTCGTACAACAAAAAATCCAGATAAAATTTTCTGTTGCGTCGGAAAATTAAACTAAATCGAATTAACCTCTTAATCCAATCAAAAGAGAGTTCTATTAAATACTTAAGAGTCATATACTGCAGAGAAATTTCAGAAAAGACATTTAATATTGAAAAAATCAAATTGCGATAGTTTGTACAAATAATAACAAATAATAAAAAATAAATTAATTAAATTATCTACACCTTTTTTTTTTATTTGCATGTTTTTTCTGACTGGGTAGCAAGGAGTCTTAAATTAACAAAAATACGCTTACATAATATTAAAAAGATATTCATGTTTATACAAAATTAATATTCCTAAATATTCATGTTTATACAAAATTGAATACGAAAATTTATTTACTCAGACACGCCCCTTCCTATTTATTATCAAGTTTGATTGACTTAACTAGGCTCTCATGCGAGCAATAAATACAAAATGTTACGATAAAACTAAATTAAACACTCGTAAATATTTTCAAACAGGAAGAGCATCTACTAGCAGCTAAACATAGAACAAATTCACCTGAAATCATAATCGATTGAAAAAGATCCAGTTAGAGCAATGCCGGTATTTTAACAGACACAATAGACAAAGTTATTATTTCATAACTATTTTAAAACATGGGAAATGAAATTATGTGATTCATAAATTTAATGGAATGTGACAGAACTAGAATGTTTGTTCTAGAATTTTGAAACAGTGTTCGTACAATGTAAGATCTAGATAAAATTTTCAGTTGTGTCGGCACATTAAACTAAATCGAATTAACCTCTTAATCCAATCAAAAGAAAGTTCATATACTGCAGAGAAATATACAGAGTCATATACTGCAGAGAAATATACAGAGTCATATACTGCAGAGAAATTTCAGAAAAGATATTTAATATTGAAAAAAATCAAATTGTGATAGTTTGTACAAATATTAAAAAATAAATTAATTAATAAATTCAATTGACTAAATTTTTTTTTTCGATTTGCATGTTTTTTCTACATTTTTTTACGATTTGCATGTTTTTTTCTGACTGGGTGGCAAGGAGTCTGAAATTGACAGAAATAAGTTTTCGTAATATTAAAAAGTCCCTAAATATTTATGTTTATTCAAAATTGAATACGAAAATTTATTTACTCAGACATGTCCCTTAATATTGATTATCAATTTCAATTGACTTAACTTGAAGCTCATGCGAGCAATAAATGCAAAATGTTACGATAAAACTAAATTAAACACTCGTAAATATTTTCAAACAGGAAGAGCATCTACTAGCAGCTGAACATAGAACAAATTCACCTGAAATCATAATCGATTGAAAAAGATCCAGTTACAGCAAATTATATTTATAACAGTCATAAATATTTCATGGTGTCTCTGAAGACAATTCGAATATTGTGTCAAGGTTAGGATTCGCATTTCACAGCCACTAACCTTATTTTCAATGATGCAGCTCTCTCTCAGTTTAAAGTTTCACACAAAATGCCGTTCGCAAATCATTAACTATACAATGAACTCATCAGTAGAAAATCATTAACCTTTTAAATAGGTTTAAATCTACAATGAGGAAGAGGATGATCCATTCTGGCTGGATCTAGCTTGTTGATTAATAAGACAGACATAATCGCAGTGACTACATTCCAAATTAGATTAAATAATTTTAAATATAATTAAAATTTCTGTGACAAGAATGTGGTTTTAAATATGAGGGTCGTTTGATCCGAATAATTTTTGATACAATTATTAAATTTTTAATTTCTTAAATTCTTGTAATTAAAATGTTCATTTCAAAGTTAGATTTTCCACCTTTGTTGCCTTGGTAACGATGTGACAAGCAGTATCTTTTTATTCACAAGGCAGTTAAGGAGTATCTATATTAATTACAATATCAACTGTATATCTAATATGTATAATTCTCTTACGTGGCTTCCAAATGTTGGCTGTATTTCTTTTCCGCCGGTGGCAATGCTTGCTTTGTTTTGTTTACGTTACTATTTCTCTTACACGGCGAATCGACCAATGATTGCCGCTAAAAATGTCACATGCCAAATCTAGATGAGGTGGCTCAACATATAGCGCTTTTAAAAACGGAAACTGAAATAACCAGAGAGCATCAGCTGCGGCAATCTCATACTATTAAGCTAGGCAGAAGTGAGTAGTCTTTGTCGATAGATCTCTATTTTAGTATTTTGTCGAAAGCGCTTTTTCACGAATTTATATATTACGAATTTATTTGACGATTTTTGATTTATATCACGAATTATACTATAGCACATTTCTAATAGGTTTAACGAATTACATGTCATTTATTTGAATTCAAATTTATTTTAATGACTTAGTATTTACTAAAAAGATGTAATTTTTTTTAAAAAAAAGTTTTCATATGGATTTGAATAATTGTTTTGAATTTTTAGAATTTTGTGCATTTGCAATGTACCTAAGTTAGTAGAGCGAAGCGAGCTTGGTTAGCGAAGCAAACCATATAAGATTGAGTAGCAATTTTCGGTGATTGGCGAGAGGTAGCGGGCAGGGGGCGCAACCCACTAGTTATTATATATTATCATTATATTATTACAATAAGTATTATAATAGTAACGTACTGGCGTGGGGAAAAGCGAGACTTGTGGTTGCCATGGTAATGGAGAGGGGAAAGTGGGAAAACTGAATAACCTTGAAACGCTTATTCCATTAAAACTAATTCCATTAAAACTAATTCCATTAAGTAATTACACAGAGCTCAAAAAAAAAAGAACACTCTATGTCAGTGATTTCCAAATGGTGTTCGGTAGAACCTTAGGGTTCCGTGAGAGAGTTAAAGGAGTTCCGAGAGTTTTAACTAGTAACCTTTGAAACCTTTAATTATAGTTAGATCTAATCAATAATCCATTATTTTTTTCATATTTCAGTTTCCCTCATGAAATTATTTAAAGTAAAATGCCATTGAAAAAGAAATGGATGATTAATAATTTTTCTAATAGCAATATATTGCATAAATTATGAAAAGATCACGCATTTATAGATTTTTCACAATTTCCCATCGCACGTTTCAAAAAAATAAAGTTTTCAAAATTGTAAATAAAGAAATGTTTCCCTAATAACCATTTTCAACATTTTCGGCAGTTCCTTACATTTCTTTTTCTTCAAAAATAAGCATATTTCTGTCTATTTTATTCATTTTCAGATATAGGCAGACCTTACACCAAAAACAAGTATATAACTAAACTTGATAGCTCCGTTACTTTGAGTTTAATTGTCGGTCATAAAAACGAACTAATGATTAGTAATGATAAATGAATGAAAAAATTCCATTCCTTTTGTTATAGTTTGTCTACGGTAAGAACTCCCCCCGACACAAAGTCTGAAACCATCTGCTGCTATGGAAACAAAAATAGCGCGTTTCAGAGAGGGTAGGGCTTCTCTTCACTCTAGGGCTAACACAATAGACCAAAGATAACATTCCCTTTCTCTAGCCGACTTAAGCCAAAACTTGTCCTAAACATAAATTCGAGATTGATTGTTTCATTTGACTTGAAACGAAATTTAATATGAAAATAGATGTTAACCTGTTATTGTGCAGATCGAAATCTAATTTAAAAATTGATTAGAATTATTTTTAATAT